TGTCTGCTTCGCGATGCCCCATACCGACAATTAGCCGCATCCGGGTGATGATTGCAAGGTCGTCACCTGTCCTGGCATGACATGTATCCTGTCAAAATATACAACACCAGGGATGTCACCTGTCCTGACATGACATGTATCCTGTCGAAAGGTACAACACCAGGGGTGTCACGTTAGATACCTTCGGAAGGCATGAGAGCCCCCCCCCCCCCTCCCCCTCTCCAATGCTGACTTGAACTCCCTTAATGCGCTTCTGAGCACCTCAATGCATATGAGCAAAACAGAGAATACTCGGTCAATGAAATATAGCAAGTCTCTGAACTGCTGGTGCGCTAGGCATCTAAGCCCATTACTATGAATGACATCATCATATGCTATCATTATCACCATGTCATTGGCTTAAAATGGGAAGTCATTCTTCAACAGTTAAATAATTCAGAGCTTACCAAACCTTTTTACCTCCATTTTGAGATCGGGGACGCAAATAAAAGAGCCCGCAATCCGGGAGAAATCAAGATTTTGGGGTAGGTTAGGTCTTCTTCATAAGCTAGGTCAGCCTCTTCTCCCTTTAATCAATTTAAGAGAGTACCACCGCTGTGCAGGAGGCCATACCGCTGTGATAATGGCAAAGGGGTCCATCTTCCCAGGTGTCAATCATCACCACAACCCTTGCAAGCATCCCTGGTGACGTATATGACTATTCAGGCACTATGTGTGGATCAGCGGCCTAACACATGGCTCTCTTTGTTGTACTACGCCAGTCCGGCCTGTCTGTTAGTCCCTTTACATCTAATCAGTTTCCATAGATGGTTTCTGTTTGAATGATATGCTATGTGTCCTCTTTGCTGCTGCAGAAAAATGGATGGTTCTCACCATTCCTTCAATAGGAAGGAATTTATATTCCATAGTAACTCACCGTAGTTTTCGAAGAATTTTACACTTAGCTTACAAGAGCCTTTCAATTTTAGCCATTCCAAATGGGCGTAACTACCTGTAAGGTCGTTGTGGTTCGGGCTCCTTAACTTTTAAACAGTCTGGACTGATCTGTGTTTTGATAGTGTAAAACAGCTCGAGAGCATGTTGGATACGAATGTGTTTACGCACCTTATGCATGATGAAACGGACCTTTGGCGCAGTCTCCATGGTAAAGTCGGTCTTTTCGCGTGATATTTTGTATTACTCAAGTATTGGGCACCCTGAAGGCTTGCAGGCGATTTACACACATTCATTATCCTTATTGTTTGATACACTTAAGAGTTTCGATCAATTTTGCCCAGATTGTGAGAGAGGTACGGAATAATGAACTTCGCCGTTTTGACCTTAGCATTGATGACCCCCAAAATAAGGGTCTTAATTCAGACCCGTTTCCGGCACACATTCTTTCAAAGAGCGGTTTAAAACCGGCATAAATTGTGATTTTGCCCTCTGAAACTGGCTACCTGATGGTCGTGGTGCGGTCACAATCTTGTTACTGACGCAGCTCGCCGTCAGTTCCTGTCGTCCTCAGGACCTACGGGGAGTCCCTCGCTGCTCACCGCGCCGTCAGTTCCCATCGTCCTCAAGACCCACGGGGAGTCCCTCGCTGCTCACGGTGCCAGACCACCGGAGAATCCATAGATTCCTGCTACAATCGTGCTCGCCCATTGAAAATTTACGGCATAAATTCAGGCTCTTACTCACTGCATGCATTGTCCGTTCCCAATTTGATACAGCGTAAAAGTAAAAGCCTGTCTAATCAATTGCAATCGGTTGATTTCAATTGCAAAACTCATGATATGATTTGCAGAATAAGCATGATGCCCGTGGTCTCGTGTGTGAGAACTATCCTTTATTCCGCCACGATGCCACTATTGTTACACATGGCTAACAAATCGCATTTGCTGCAGGTGTCTCGCGGCTACTTGCAAACATTTCACAGCTGTTGATATTGCCACACATGTGCACTGTCAGAATAACGGATGCTGTGTCGTGGTTCGCATTTCTATCGGGAATCGGCTCCGCTGCGCAGTTTAGTCTTAATAGAATTCATTCAGCGCCCAATCAGGTTAGATTCTGTCGCCTCCGGGCTTGATCCCGACGAGAAGCAAACTTGAGCCCACGTCCAGCGCCCGCCAGCCGTCCGTCTCGACAGCCCGTCCCAATGCCATTAACCAATCACTGACATACCCTCGATGGAGGTCAGGTGGCCGACACGCGACAGGCCTCACTAGCTGTCACGCATCACGAGTCATGCGACGGTCGCTGTCTTTCGCCGCTGCGCACCGGCCGGCGCGCCCGCGGCCGATGTGGCGCAGCCGCGCGTCTCCGTCGCAGGCGGCTCGGCGCGCGCCGCCAGGCGCTCGGGTTCGGCGACGGGGACGGTGTGTGCGTAGGAAACATATTGAGGTTAGGAACCCGAAGTCTGACGGGGAAACCCAACGTACATCCAAAATTCAAGTTGTCATCAAATTGTGAGCACGTTGTTGTTTCAGTGTATCAATATATCATAGTCAACTTTTCGTTTCGTTCTCATAAGACCTGACAAGAAAGAGGTGTAAAATGCACTTGAATATTTTTAACAGCGCGTAAAAAACATTGAGACAAAGGCGCCTAGGTGCACTGCAGTCCCCTGACCCGCCAGCCCCCCCCCCCCCCCCCCCCCCTGTTCCGCCGGGTGCCGTCCTCCTCAGCCGGGCAGCGTACACACGGCGGCGCCGCCGTGTGTACGCTGCCCGGCTGACAAATGGCCGACGGGCGCCGCGGAGCCAAGCCAAACAGGCGAATCAGCGCCGCTCGACTAATTGAGGACGCCGATGATGGAGTCGATCTCCACCGAGGCGCCGGTCGTTTGTCATAGCGAGGCGAGGTGAAGCGTCGCCGGGGTCGAGTGGGATCCTCCGCCGCCGAGGAGCCTCGCTCTGTCGGGGAGGTGGCGGCGGCGGCGCTCGTCGCCGGACTCCCAGGGCGCTCCTGTCCGGTCTTGCATCAGTGTATACCTGCTGGGTCTCGAACGGCCTTTCTCTCGACACTCTAGCGCCCCGTCCGACTGCTGGAGGACTCGCTCTGCGACACCGCGAGCATCACCAGAGCGACAGTTTCTGTGCAGTGATTTCCACAATTCGTGGTGGAAGCTGAGTGAAGATGTAGTGCTTGCGTTGTCCACCTTTCTGCTAAATTCAGGCTTGTTAACATCGTTCACACCGCAAGAACGAGGCTCCAGCCGTGGGTTTGAGCTTGGCGCCCGGCACTGGTTGCAGGAAGGCAGACAAATTATTCCCCTTTTATGCATAGCAAGCTCAGATGCTTAAAGGGTACGCTTGGCAGCACGATGCTCACCAACAATTACAAATGCGAGGCTTCACTAAAGAACTGTGTGCGCCGCAGACCGCTTCCGTTGGTTGCGCTTGTGTGTTCTGCTGCAACTGTGCGCACGAAAAGTCTGCAACAGACGGGGTCAGGCCGACGTCAGCCGCAATGGCAAGTCTCTGTTGAGGCAGAGTAGCCGCGGCTGGTATTTGCGAAAGCATAATGGAGAGCGCAAGACGGTAAATACCTTTGCTTCCTTTATCCCTCTTTAGACTTAAGCCATGGTAATGGAACAGAATGCGGCATAATGTAAAGTCACAAAACATTGCTTTTGATAGACCACTTTCTGCCAAACCTTTGACTCTTGGCATAACAGGCTCCGAGCCACATGGATGGCTGCATCGCCTGGTGCCAGACCCCCCCCCCCCCTTGGGGTGGGGGGGGGGGTGTTCGTCTACCCTTGAGCAGCTTTTTATCAATGTCACCACCCAGACCGGCAATGAAAGATGCCAAGTGCCCCCCCCCCCCGCCCCCCCCCCCTCTCGGTCATGCCCGTTGCTCTCGTATCCTGCCCCTTGTCTGTTCATCTACCCTTATCTTAGGGTGGGCACAATCGTTGGCCCTGTTTACATTGCAAATAAGTGCTGCGTGCGATGTGGTCTCAAGCCAAAAGTCTCCTAAACGCCAAGAGTTTGGCGGAAATTGTAGTGTTCGTTACCTTGAAGGAGAGTTATCGGTTCTTTACCGTGTCTCCGCAGCGCCGTTTAAAGCAGGAGGTGCGATAAGAGACACGAAAATACAGACACCTGCTACCCTGTACCTGGCTACCGTAAATGCTTGTCTCGGCTGCCGTGCCTCGCCATGCTGCCGTCCTTGCCCCGGTGACCCGCGGTGACCCGACCCGACCTTTAGTCGGCTGGTAGCAAGCTGCTCGCGCTGCACGGAGGACAAGCACGCCCGGCAGAGGCGGCGAGGGTGGATGGAGTGGGGTGGGGAGGGCCACCCAGTAGGAGGCCCGCAGAGCAGGCAAGCTTCCCACAAACCCCTTCTTGAAAAACACATGCTATTTGTTGGTATTGGTAAAACATCACACCGCCAGGAATATCCTCAGGTACGGCTCCCGCCATGAGAAATAGCAATTACTCAGCCTCGCTATAAAGTCGCATGACGTGGCTGTGTAAGGCCGCCATGTTTAGGAACAGGAACTTTTTGTTTGCCGCTAAGCTTTAAGCCACAGCTTCGGCCTCTTCGCTAATCACGTGCCGACCTGGACGCCCTGCCAGAGCCGTGCGGCGCACTCTTGGCCCTCGGCGTGGGTGACCTGTACGGCGAGCAAGACCGGCCCAGCCCGCTCGGCCGTGCGCATGAATGATGCCCGTGCTCGCCCCATTGTGTCCCGCAGTCGACTCATTAGCGCGTTATGGCGCGGCGCTCACGCCTGACTCATTTCAGAGGCGCGACGGCGTCGTCTGGCCGTGCCCACCGGCGGGGCCCGTCGGACGTCCGCCGAGCGTGCTCCAGACGACCGGCGCCCCAGCGGCGCCCCAGCGGCCCCCCAGCGGCGCCCCCAGCGGCGCCCCAGCGACCCCCAGCGGACCCTCAGCAGCGCCCCAGTGGCCCCCCAGAGGCGCCCCCAACGGCGACCCAGCGGCCCCCCAGCGGCGCCCCAGCGGCACCCCAGCAGCGCCCTCGGTGGCGCCCGAGCAGCGTCGGCGGCGCGGTGAGTCATGAAGGAGAAGAGCAAGAACGCGGCGCGCAGCCGACGGGAGAAGGAGAACTACGAGTTCGAGCAGCTGGGAAAGCTGCTGCCGCTGAGCTCGGCCATTAGCAGCCAGCTGGACAAGGCCAGCATCATTCGGCAGACCATCAGCTACCTGAAGCTGCACAAGATGTACCCCAGCGGTGAGTACCCAGCACCGATGTATCCCAGCAGTGAGTAAGGGCTATGCTGCCGTGCCCGAGCAGTGGACACTGAATAGTGGTCGTGGCACCTCTTTGGAGTTTGAGAAGAGGAGGCCGGTTTTAAACCGTTTATTTCCATGCAAAGCCACGAGAGTTAAGTCAAATTTTCCCAAATCTACGAGCAGCTGTCTCTCTGCCAGGCTTTGTCCCAATCCGCTGTCAGCTGCTTTCAGTGCCGTACTATGTGTATACATGCCGTACTATGTGCCGTATACATACTGTGCCGTACGTACACGTACGTACATACACTATGTTGTACGAACTATGCCGTACTATGTGCCGTATACATATATGTAACTGTAAGTTCCCATGCATTGGGCATTAATGGCTGCCGATGGTGATCTGAGGAATCATATCAAGGAACAATGGCTACCTAGTTGCAAGAGTGGAGAGGCGCATCATCACTTACCTGGGGGTGCATGCAGACACGCTTGCCAGTAGATGGCCAGATATGTAAGCGAGTGATAAGAACGCCACAACGCGCTGTGGACCGGACCCAAGTGGACCCGTTCACACACAACCAACAGGTTCGCCCACCGAATTGTGGTACTGCATACGTGCATCCACCAATCACCATTGATCCAGGCTTCTGAGGTGTGATCCAGTGTGATCCGCCCGAACGCGACGACGTTCCATTGTCACGTCAGCCTCCTGTCTCCAGCCCATCCCATGGCCGCAAGCCAACACCTCGTCCACATCCGTCCACAAACTGGCTCAAGCTAGACCTGGGTGCCGAGATGCGTTCTCCCCGAGGTCCTAGCAGCTGCAACGGTCCTCGGACTCGCGGTCGTGTCCGGTCCAACGGTCCAACGGTCGTGTCCTCTCGGCCGGCCGGGACCGGCTGACCCCCGCTGCGCCGCCGCCGGCGCATCCCAACTACGGCGCGTGGCGCACCGGCCGCCGCGACAAAGCGCGACAAGCGGCCCAAACAGCGGCCATTGTGGCGCGCCGGCGGCGGCGCGCCGATCAGCGGCCGGCGGCGCTAACGAGCGTCCGACAATGGGCTGCGTCGGTGGCGACGACGGCCTGCCGACGAGCCGACGAACCGACGGACAAACAGGCGCCGCGCCGCGCGGCCGCGAGGAATAACGAGCGCGCGTAATCCCGCTGCATTATAGACAATTACGGCGCGGCACTCAAAGAGAGAGGTGAGCAATTATCGTAACAGAGGGGCTGTCGGCGCTGTGTGCACTGGCACTAGCCGGAGATGAGGTTCTCCGACTGTGTTGGCTCAGGGATTTGGTGGGATCGATAGGCACGGTGACGCTTTTGGCAGCAGTTTTTCTAGTGCTGGGGTACCGGTGCTCTTGATGCCAGCGGCGGATTTCGCGGCCTTAGCATACGGTCCCCGCCGAGCGGAGGGTACGATCCACTCGCCTCCAGCCGCGTCGAGCGCCGCCGCGGCCAGCGTGTCTCCTGTGTGGATGATAGTGGGCGCGATCCGCGCCGCCGGCTGTGAATCAGCTCTCCCGCCGCGACCGCGGTAGACTGGGACGCTAGTGAGCACAGTTGTGACATGCGTCACAAAACAATCGAGACATGACCGGCGCTGCGGCTCCCGACGGCTGGGGCCAGCATTCAGTCGGGGTGCGGCGCATGGGTCTCCTGGCGTTGCAGGCAAACCAGCGACCATACGAAGAGGCGGACCAACCACCGCGCGGACGGACCATGGCCGTCGAAACACACGGTGCACCGAGGGGGCAGATCGGGAACGATGGGGCAAACCATGAAACGCAACCACATACTTTGCCAGAGGAGATAAACCACGAGTGACTGAGACGGAGCACGCTTCACGGAGGCGGCTGGCCGGCCCGTTCCGGAAGGCTGCCAGCGCCCAAGCCGGCGCCGGCTCACCTGGCCCGCAGCAGTGCGCGGCGCGGCGCGCTCGTCTCGCGCACTGTACGCACGCGTGCCACAACAGTCGGCTCGGATCTCATGGGGGCACGGACGCGCTTTGTACGGCGCCGACCGGCCGCTGTATCGGCTGTCTGCTGGAGGCCGGCGCCGGCGGGCCGCCCGCATCCGCCGGCACCCGCCGCAGGTGCGGTGCCGTCCGACCGGAGCGACAGAATGGCTGAATGGGAGCAGCACATGGCGCCCGCGCCGGCGGATCAGGTGCTATCAGGCTCGCCATCGCGCGCTGTCTCTTCAGGGGGCGCCCCGGGCGTCAGACGCTCGCCGGCCGCCAGATGTCCGCCGATGGATATATGTCAGCAACGGGTCACACGTGCACGGGAAAGTCCTGTAACGTGCTAAAAGCTCTGTTAAAACATCAGCCGACAGTTTCGGAAGTTATTGCTATTCACACCTCATCAATTGTACCAAGTGTTGCATACTCTGCCTACGGATGACAGATCAGAGAAAATTTGACGACCTGAGAAGGACAATACGCCACAAAACTAATTGATTAGTAACTGGTAATAACAAGGCACAAAACATCATAAATGTCATATAGCTTAAAAAATGTGACGCCACGTTTATCCGGTTGTACCCGGCAAGCAGCTTTGGGTTTGAATATCACTGAAGGGGCAATATTATTTTGGCCTTGATATTTTCATCTTGAGCGCAATAGCATTTTCATCATTTCATGCTTTGGTCAGTTCACCTTGATCTGTCAATCCTATTCTACGTTTCAAACCAGAGATGTGCCACGGCTATTGTGATAAAAACAGCGAACACGAGCGAAGGGTTCAAAAGCAAATCCAAGCCTTTTATGCCAATGCTGCATAGTCAAAAGCAAAGTTCTCCGTCTTCTTTGTTAAGGTTGAGCATAGGTGCTCTAGATGCCGAGAAAGACGAGACCTCGCTGTCCGATAACTGGGTCGGGAACATTGCAAAGACGTTTTGGAAGCAGGTGTAGGTGGAAGGGAGCTGCCCATCCGCACGATGTAGAAACGGCCTGTATGTAGCATTAGTAGACGCCAGGACGCACCACGTAATCGAGAGCCTCGACTGGAATTATGCGAGCTCCCTACATTAAAGCAACGGGCTCGCTTCCTCCGCTCCGCAATGCTGCGTGTCCGTGTCAAGCCAAACAGAAGAGGCGGCATGTCGCCGTGCGTCCTGCGTCTCCGCCGACTCGGCTTTTTCCGCGGCAGCCTGTCGCCGGCCTCATTTGCCCGGCGCGCTGCCGGCTGCTGTCCAAACAGAGCGCCTCTGGGCCGGGCGGGTGTCGCCCCCACCGGCGTCACGTGCCGCCGTGGTCCGAGGATCAGTGGGCGCTGTTGACCCGGGGCGACAGCGATTTCCGCCGCGGTCCTCGATCGCCTCTGTTTTATGCTGGCCGCGCGATCTGTTGATACAGGTGACGGCCGGGCTGCCCGCTAAATACCCGAGAGGCCGCCGGACTGCGCCAACAAACAGGGCCGCAAGCCGGGCGGGCGGTGCACGCGTGCGCGCCGCCCGCCGCCGCCGTCGCGGGCGGCCGGAGTGGCCGCCGAGGAGCGGGAGGAGGCGGAGGAGGCTGATCACAATGGCGGCCGGGCGGCTCGGCCGCGCGAACCGAGCGGACAAACAAACAGCGCTGCGTCAGCCGGCGGCAAACAGTGCGCAGGTGCGCGCCGGATTCCGTGGCATCCGCGCTGGGGCGCCGTAACTCGCGAGAAGTGCGGTGAGCGACGGTAGCGGGCCATGTGGTTCACGTCAGGGAAGGGACGAGCAGCAAGGTTGCGCCACGGGCAGGTGACGGGCTCGGCACCTCTGTGGCGGCAGCGGTTTGACTGAGAGGGCTTGGACGCCGCTAAGCGCCGCCTATTTCAACGGAACAGTCTGGCAGTTTCTGCAGACTGAGCAACTGAAGTAGAGTCTTATGAACGTGAAGTAAGCCCGCCTCCCTGCTCCAGCCCGAGGTCTGTCCCCCTGACCCAGCCCAAGGTCTGTCCCCCTGACCCAGCCCAAGGTCTGTGCCACTGACTCAGCCCAAGGTCTGGATTCCTGACTAAGCCCCAGGCCTGGGTCCCTGACCCAGCCCCAGGTCTGGACCCTGACCCAGCCCCAGGTCTGGATCCATGACCCAACCCCAGGTCTGGGCCCTGACCCAGCCCCAGGTCTGGATTCATGACCCAGCCCGAGGTCTGTCACCCTGACCCAGCCCAAGGTCTGTGCCACCGACTCAGCCCAAGGTCTGGATTCCCGACTAAGCCCCAGGCCTGGATCCCTGACCCAGCCCCAGGTCTGGATCCATGACCCAGCCCCAGGTCTGGATCCATGACCCAGCCTCAGGTCTGGACCCTGACCCAGCCTCAGGTCTGGACCCTGACCCAGCCCCAGGTCTGGATCCATGACCCAGCCCCAGGTCTGGACCCTGACCCAACCTCAGGTCTGGACCCTGACCCAGCCTCAGGTCCGTCACCACACGGCGAGTATCGATCTCATCATCTGATTACGGCTGAGGGGGGGAGCAGCGCCGACCCAGCGGCGTGTTTGCACGGCCATAAAGTCAACAGCGGCTCATTTGTAAACCACATCCGAACGCGGCGCGGTGGCAATATTGGCGCGAAACGCGACGCGACGGGGGGCAGCGGGTACAAACACTGTAATGGCCACGCTGATGGCGGTAAAATGCAAATTACACTACGGGCGTTTCCTGCATGGTCCGTCGCGAAGGTGGTTAGTCATGAATGGGTCGGGGTGACGGGAGTGCACCTGGTAGACCGAAAGACTGGGGTGGGGGTGGGGCGTTTAACGATGAGTTCTTGGCACTTGGGAGAGTTGTAAACATGAATAATGCGCATTTTTTTCTCCTAGAGCCGGTAGACGAATTGGGTGAGCGCCTGTCCCTGTCTTTAAGCGCTGAAGCTTTCAGCTCAGCTGCATCAACAGTTCGCGTCGGCTTTGATTTACGAGCCTGCAGCCCTCTTCCTTTTTGCTTGGATTTCACGCTGCATTATCCTCCCCGCCCCCTCGCATCGAGAAGTCTCCAGTTACAGGACGCCTCACGT